AATCAATATTCATGGCTTCCTGGAGTAACATTAGGGCTGCCTCACCTTCCTGGCCTCCCCCAAATTGCCAGAGAGCTTCTGGGCCTGGGAGGGCCAGACTGTTTGCTCAAAACATTAGGTGAGGTGAGGTAGAGCTGCCCTGGCTGCCAGCTCAGGAGCCGCCATGGTAAAGAAGGGGCAGACAGGTCAGCTGCAGGCCCTGAAGAAAGAGGAACTTTCTCCATAAGGGCCTCATGGCCAAGGCTGCAAAGGCTGATGTTACAGCCTTTGCAAAACAATCTAGACCTTGAGAATTCCTGGGAACTTCCTCCTACAGCTCCGGGCACCAGGTGGGCTTCCATTAAGCTCAATCAAACTGAAGGAGATGGGAGGAGGCTGAGGGGCACTGGATTTTACAGAATTCCTTTTATACAAAACAGAGGCACGGGGCTTAGGGTAACCCGCTGTCCTGGTTTGCCTGGGACTGAAAGGTTTCCCAGGACATGGGCCTTTCGGTGCTAAAACCAGACAATCCTGGGAAATCTAGGAGGATGGGTCACCCTAACTGAGGGGCTGTGGGAAAGGATCCTCCCCGCCATGAGCCTGGCACATGGCTGGGGCCAGAGGGTGGCTTGGATCCCAGCTGTCTGCTAGTGGTTCTACGAATCCAAAACTTTCCTCACTATTCTACCTCACGTGTGACAGAAGGCTGGGGCGGGGAGGGTCTTCATGGGCGACTTGGGAGCTGCCAAGGAAAGTGGAAGAAGGAAAGTGTCCGTGGTCTCTGTGGCAGGGAGGAAATTCCCTCTGCTGCCTGTGGGGAGCTGGGGCCATGAGGCCCACACAGAGCCTGGGTGTCAGGAAGTGAGCTGGGGAGCTCCTGAGAAAACTGCCAGAACAAGGGACTTGACCTGTCCTTGGACCCTTTGCCAAGGGTACAAAAGCTGGGCAGAGGGACATGGAGAAAGATGTCTTTAAAGTTTTTTGCCTGGTGGGCCTCCTCCTTCCCAGGGCCGAGAGAGCAGCCTTGCAGTGCTGTGCGGCCGGAGCACGCTGGTTTCCTCAGGCTCCTCTCGAAGGTTGTCCTAACCGAGAGTCGTGGGGCAGACGTCTCAAGAGGCTAAGGAGGTTTGAGTCGAAGCCAATCTGACAGGGGAGATCCCATGGAGACCACTTTGCCCAGACTTCTGATTTGACAAATGAGAGACCAAAATCCAGGGAGGCAGAGTCACTCGCTGGGGCAGCACATTCCCAGTTGGATGTGACGAACCCTACAGCTGGAACGGCTGTTTCCTGCTATCAGATGCCACGGCCAGAGGTTCCTTGTGAGGGAAACAGTTCAGAGACAAGCCCAGCCCTGCGGGAGCCTCTGCCTTCCTGGAGCCCACGTGCTGTTCGGGGAGGGGCACATCCGTGGGGGCCTGTGCCTCTGCAGCCAGGACTCCTCCCTCCATTCTGTTCAGCTCCCCAGCTTGGTCCACGCCAGCACCAGCTCCAGGTGAAATCCTCCACGATTCCCCCTGGAGTGGTCCACCCTGGGAAACCCCAGGCTACGGGTGCCCACCTGCTCCGTCTCCCCCTTCCTGGCCTTGCATGTGTGAGAAAGACCAGCCTCACCCCGCGGGAAGAGGGAGCTACTCCCCACCTGCTTCTTTTTTTTTTTTTTTGAGACCGAGTCTCACTGTGTTGCCCAGGCTAGAGTGCCGTGGCGTCATCCTAGCTCACAGCAACCTCAAACTCCTGGACTCAAGCGATCCTCCTGCCTCAGCCTCCCGGGTAGCTGGGACTACAGGCATGCGCCACCATGCCCGGCTAATTTTTTTCTATATACTTTTAGTTGTCCAATTAATTTCTTTCTATTTTTAGTAGAGACAGGGTCTCGCTCTTGCTCAGGCTGGTCTCGAACTCCTGAGCTCAAACAATCCGCCCGCCTCGGCCTCCCAGAGAGCTAGGATTACAGGCGTGAGCCACCACGCCCGGCCTGCTTCTTTACAACCTTCCCAGAGGGAGAGGGATCGAAGACAGTTTAAGGAGCCATTAACAACACAGGCCTCCGGTCAGCTTAGTAGGAAGCGGAGTCCCAAGAGTGAGACAAACCTGAGTTCACCGTGGCATGTCTGATAGGGAGGTGGAGAGGGATCAGACCCAGGATGCCGAGGTAGGCTGGACAGCAGGGCAGGAGAAGGTGGGTTCTATGGCCAGGAGAGGGCAGAGGAGAGAGGAGAGAAAAAAACAACAGAGGGACTCCAGAAAAACATCTGACAGCTACAGTACCAGCTTTTAGCATCTATAGCATTCCAGTTTTGTCCTACTGTGGATGAGCCTAGCACCCCCAAAAAAGCAAATGCCGGAAAAAGCCTAAGAAATGTTCCCAAGGAATGGCAGTGCTGCCCCCTTGTTCCTGGCAACCCTTCTAGGAATAGCAGGATTCCACAGAATGTGTCACAAGGTGAGAGCCTGCAACCCACAGCATCCTTGAGGCCCCACGAGCATGAGAAGGAGTCAAAGTGAAAAGGGCTCTGTTCTGGGCATAGTGGCCAAGAGCGACCCTCTTGGAAAGTCTCAGAAGGCTCAAAAGCTCAGCCCAGGCAGGCGGGATGCTGAATCCTTGGGGAGGGATCACAGGTTTCCCACTCACAGAATCGCCCTGACTTATTCAATAAGAGGCCTTTGGAACTTCCTTAGCAATTACTACCTCCCCACTCAGCTCCGTGCCTGGCTGGCCACTAATAATTTATTGCAAATAAGTCTCATCGCTCCAATAAGACAATCAGCTTTTCTACTTCCCAAGTCCCTACAGAGCTTAACACAGTTGGGTACCCAGCTGGTCCTCATTAAAACCCTTCTGGGCCTGAATCTTCCTACCCTTCCTGCCCCCACCTCCATCCTGCCTTCCAGCAACTGGCCCAGGGGGATGGAGCCGGCCAGATCACTCACTTCTTTTTGCTTTTCTAAGAGCTGGACTGGCAGATGCTAACAAAGGAAAGTGAGAGCTTCTGAGTCTACAGATCTGACTGAGAGCCTGGCCAAAGATATTGGGAGCTTCTGGAATCTAAAATAATAAGCAGAAAATCGCTGTTAGCAAATTCTCTAATTATGGTATTCCTTATAGTTCTCCTATGGGAGAAATTCATTTGTAAGGTTTAAGTCAGACCATGAATCTCAGGGAGAACTGGAAATAGCTACCAATATTGCCTGAGAAGGGTCTCTGGCAGGAGCCTCTAAACTTCCTGGGTTTTGGTTACCTTATCTATAAAAAGTAGGCATGACAATACACTACTGTAGACAGGTGGCTAAATCAGGTGATCTGATCAAGTACCTTCCAATTCTATACTTCTGTGAATATTGGACCATTTCATTCATGACTATGCAAGATAGTGACGTGAATTTAGAATTAAAAAAACCCACAGTTCACATCCTGGCTCTGGTACTTACTAGTTGAGTGTCTTGAGGGAGTCACTTAATCTCTCTGAACTAATTTTCTTGTCTATAAAATGAAGACAATAATGACAATGTTGTCATCACATAGATGTTGTGAGATCCTAAACATGAGCATGTTTTATAAACTGAAAACCACTATTCAAATACTACTGATTATTAACAGGTCATCATGGCTGTAATAAAAAAAAAAAACTTCCCTTTAAATAAGCAAATACTTATGGTGAACATCGAAAAGATCATAGCTGATGGATTTGCTGTTAATTTCTCCCTACCCAGGAATACCTGCTGCTCGTCACTACCTCCTGACTAGGGGACCTATAGGAGCCAGGTAGTAAATGTTGATCTCAAGGTGGAGGCTGGAGATCTGGACTCTAAGGAAACAGAGGGAGGCTACTTTGCCACCCATCAAAAATTCGTTCACGGCCGGGCGCGGTGGCTCATACCTGTAATCCTAGCACTCTGGGAGGCCGAGGCGGGCGGATTGTTTGAGCTCAGGAGCTCAAGACCAGCCTGAGCAAGAGCGAGACCCCATCTCTACCAAAAATAGAAAGAAATTAATTCTAAAAATACATAGAAAAAAATTAGCCGGGCATGGTGGCGCATGCCTGTAGTCCCAGCTACTTGGGAGGCTGAGGCAGTAGGATTGCGTGAGCCCAGGAGTCTGAGGTTGCTGTGAGCTAGGCTGACGCCATGGCACTCACTCTAGCCAGGGCAACAAAGTGAGACTCTTTTTAAAAAAAAAAAAAAATTCGTTCACGTTCCTTCTGTAATTTGACAGCAGACTACCAGCACCCTCTTCCCCAGGTAATAAACTGACAGCAAATTTAGGTCTTTTTTTTTTTTTTTTAGTGCAATTTATGTAAAGGGAGTAGACCCTCCAGGAATGAATAATCAATTGTACAGCCCCTCAAAAAATATGCTGATAAACTCACAAAGTTCTGTTATTACGAAGCACTAATTGCATTTCCTTGGGTAAGCACCATAAAAAATTCATTGCATTTTTTAGAAACAAGATGCCAATTGCATTTTAATTGCTAGGGAGGAGAGAGGAGGGGAGAGGCTACCCAGGAAAATGCTAATTGGACATATACTCAGAAAGAGATCTCCCCAAGCCAAAAGGCCTATTACTAAAATAAGAGCTAAGGACAGATGAGCCTCATGGGGGAGACCAAACATTCCCTAAGAGAGCATTGGCTTAAGTGGTTCTCAGACTTAAAGCCTCAGAGCACCTGAACAGCTGAGGCTCTTCATTGCAGATCATGACACATAGATTTAACAAACTGAAAGAATTTAAAAAACAAGCACATGCCAAAAGTCTCGAGTACATGAGCAGCACCAAAGTGTCAAGAAATATATATGAGAGGAAAATCGTAATTCTATCCCTTAACATATATTAGAGAGAGAGAGAGAGAGACAGAGAGAGAGAGAAGGGAGAGTGTGAGCGAGTGCTGGACCAAGACCATACATCACTTTAATAACAGAACTCCCTGGACCAGCTCACAGAACTGTCATTTTAAAACCGACACCCTATACTGACTCCAACCTCCTTGTTTTCCAGTGCCAGAGCCAGGTGCGAACAGGAAGCAGCGAGACCAGCAGGGAAGTGGAGGGGATCCTGACTCCCATGGGCTTAATCTGGGCTGGCCCAGCCTTGATTCCATCTGCCCAGGAGACTCTGAGCCAGGGAATCCTCCAGGGAGGCACTTAGCCCACCCGAGGGCACAGGGAGAAGGTAGGACTGGGAGCATCCCTAAGCACCCTCCCAAAATATGCACGCAGGGGCCGGGGAGGGGAGAGAGCAGAAGGGCAGGCTCCCAGCTGCTTCCAGCAGCCTCTTGGTCTCCAGCTCCTGCCTCTCTCCTCCTCCCCCTCATTCCTCAGCACCCCCACCATTCCCACCCCAGCCCCAGCCTCTCTCCTGCTGTCGAGCCTCTCTGGTGAGAAAGAGGGATTCTGAAACCAGGGCCTGAGAGGAGAGGCCCAGCAGCCCGACAGCTGGCCTGTGGGTGGTGACTGTCTCGCACGCAGTGGTGGAAGATCCGTGCCTTCTGCATGGGAGGCTGCTGCTTGTCCTCCATCTAGTGGACCTGCTGGAGACCCCAGGACACGTGAGGCTGGTGCACAGTGAGAATGGAGGAAAATACAGGACTTAGGAGGGAGTCCTGGACCCAAAGAAAGGAGCTGGATTCACAGCATGGCTCTACCATACACCCGCCAAGCCACTTTTATTTTAGTAAATCACTTAACCATTGAGAAGCTCGATTTTAACTTCTATCAAATGGGGCTAAAAATATCTGCTGCTCTAGGGTTCTTGTAAGATTTGAATGAGAAGATGGATGTATATATCCCCTGTAAACTCTAAAGTTTATTATCTACCACCTGCCCCTGTGCCCAACCTTGGAAAAAGATGCTTTTCATTACCATGCCCTGCATTTGTAAAATACTTTCTACAGATAATGTGTATGAAAACACTAGAGATCACTCACTCTAAGTCTAGCACTGTGCTAGACATTGTACAGGTCTTATCTCTTTTAATCATCACAATAGCAGATAAGGTAGCCACGATGGCTATTACCAGGAAACTGAGGTTTACCAAGGTTAGGAACTTGCCAAAGGTCACATAGGAAATGGCAGATCTGGGAGACAAACTCAGTTCTACGCTTGCCCAGTTAATGCTTAAATTGATAGAAACTTAATGGATTCTATGTTACAAGCATCACATCTTCCTTCATCCACTCTGGGGACCATTCCCTAGTCCTTTCCCCAGCCCTCGGCAGGGCCCAGGTATAAGGAAGGAGGTTTACAGTGTCTGAGGAGCAGGTTCTTTAGAAACCTCCCTGCCCCACCCCTGCCCCCACACTCACCTGAGTGGTGTCATGAATCCAGTCCAGGAACTCGGCTACCTTGGCGTAGACACCCGGGTGATTGGGCTCTGCACAGCCACGACCCCAGCTGACCACCCCCACGAGGCGCCATATGCCACCATCTGGACACACCAAGGGTCCCCCACTATCCCCCTGAGAGATCCAAGCACAAAGACACAGAGAAACAGCCAGTTAGTCCCTCCTAGTGGAGAGCACCAGATCTCCATGGGGAATGGACTCTCCTTCCAGGGCCCCTCCTGCTTCCGGCTGGAATACCTACTGGCCTCGCCCCTCTGTAAACACTTAACATGAGCTCCAGACTTGCCTAGGTGCCCCCGCCGCCCACTCCGAGAGAGGCTGTCTGGCACTTGGACATACTCAGACCAGGGGGCCAAGCCACAGCAGGCCCTGCCCCCACCATTGTGGGCCACACCTGACACGCATCGGCCCTCCCGTCCAAGTAGCCGGCGCACAGCATGCGATGGGTGAGGGCTCCGCTGTACACGCAAGAGCTGTTGCAGAGCTGGGTGCTGAGCAGGGGCACCACCGCGTCCTGGAGCATGTCCGAGCTGTGGGCTGAGGGAGACACCGAGAAAGGCTGCAGGATGCAAAGCAAGACCCAGGGAGGCAGAGCAGCAAGAGGGGAGGTGATTAGAGGTCCCAGAGACGTGGACACACAAAAAGGGGAGGCCAGGGTGGGAGCTGGGCAAGGAGGCGAGGGGCTGTCAGTCTTGGGGACTGGGAATGGGAGGCGGAGTAGGACTCACACACACCAAACGCCGAGGCCATGGTACTCCTGGGACAAAGGGAAGGGAGTAAAGGGCCAGGGTTTGAAGAAAACTTTCAGTGGCGGTTCTCCCCAGAAAGGCCCAGGCAGGGGAGGCTGGAGCCCCCAGACCTGGCCAAGGGCAATGTCAGGGAAAAGGGGGGCTGGTACTGCCATGTGGCCAGGGGAGGTAGAAGTGCCTTACCCTGGGGAAGGATGACTCCCCCACCAGTCCCCCTTGCAGTGAGGGCCCTGGGAGCTGACTCACTATGGCTGGGGTCGGTGTGGCCCCAGCCAGACACCCAGCACTGGGAGCCCCTTGGGAAACGCTGCTCCTCGGCTGGCAGGCACACGGCACCCACGGTGTCTGTGGAGAGGCACGTGCTCCCACTCAGGCTTGGCTGCCCCACTGCAGAGCCTGGGCGGGGGACCCAGGGTGGCCAGATCCTCCTCACCCCCCTTCTCAAACAGTCCTGGATCCTAGCCTCCACCAGCCAGGCCTCTGAGGTGGCTGTGCAGGCTTTGCATTGTCCCACCGTGGGGGTCACTGTTCACAGGGGACAGTGTGCAAACTGCAGTGTGCGTGGCGCCCTCTTGGGGTGGGCAGTGCGTGTGCTGCCCACTCCTAACCTAGGGACTGAGGAGAGAACTGGAAATTCCTTCTGGCTGTGGGTCCCCAACTTCTGACGAGGACCCATTTTGGCTTTTCCCCAGAATGTCTAGTCCCTCAGTGTTTCCCAGTGTGTGAGACATCCTACAGGTGGAGCCATGACTTTAGGTAGTACATAGACATGCCATTAAATAAACACAGATTGACTTGGGAAGAATGCTATTTCCTTTCAATTCTCCTTCAGTCCCTCTACCTGCATCAAGGAAAAAGACTCCATTTGGCGCTGGTCTGTACCTCTCTTAAAGCCTGTCAACCTCCCATTTAACCAGGAGAGAGAGCAGGCCAGGCACAGGAACTTCTACAGAGGACTCAGCTACCTAAGCCTTAAACACTGGTTTGTTTTCATGCTATGTATTTTCGTGGTTACCATCTATTTACTATAAGTAATGTAGGTTCTCCAGTTGGGTGGTTTTCCCTTTTAAATATCCCTTAAGTAAGTATACTTAAGTCAACTTATAAAAATTAACTATTGAACAATAGTTCACATATACGATACAATTTGTGAAATGCGTGTGGCAACAACTGTTGTTTGGGAAACCTAAGGCAACAGGTGACAACTCGAGGGAGGAGTGCTGTGTATCGTGAGTGTGAGAGTGTGTGCACAAGTGTGCATGTCAGAGTATGTGGTGTTGGCATGTGTGTGCATGAAAGTGAGTGTGTGTGAGCATGTATGTGTGAGTCCATGATGTGACTGCATGAGTGCATGTGTGTGTGTGTTTCTGTGAGTGTATATGTTTGCAGGTGAGTGCCCATGTGCACGTGTGTGTCGGGGAGGGCAGCTGCTGAGACCGCTGCAGCCCGGGCTCACCTCCTGGCGCAGGTGCTATGGCAGGAGGAGCCCTGACATCAGGCACAGGAACTGTCTGCTGCATGACGTTGAAGAGAGTCACTTCCTTCCCCAAACTAAAGTGTCCTTGTCTGTATATACCTGCTCCATCTACCTATCAGGGTTGTTATGAGGATTGAAAGAAAGGATATTTGGAAAAATGAAAGAAATCTCATGAACTTTAACAAGTCACAAAATGGCTGGGACCTGGAGCCAGCCTGGGGACAGGGGTGGAGCGGCCTATTAATGGATAGGGCAGCTGTGAAGCCTGCTTGGGACCCCAAGGAAAATCCTGCCTGCAGCCCAGCTGTGAAAAGAACTTGAAATTTTGTCCCCAAAAGAGCTTGTAGAAGAGTTGGTACAACTTCAGGTCCAGGTGATGCCAAAATTCACTATGGTCCCTAAATGAATGGAACATTTTAAGTGCTCAGAGGAAACCTTGGAAATCATCTGGCCCCCTCTCCTGTCCAGCCCCCACCCTCTCTTACCACAGACCCTCGCCTGCCCACCCCAGGCCAGCATCTCACCTGAGAAGTTGAGCGGCGTTCGGAGCCGCAGGAGAGCGACATCGTAGTCATGATTCTGGGTGCTGTAGAAGGGGTGGGGGATGATCCTCTCCACCATAGCCCCCTGGTGTGGCCTGAGAGCGCTGTGGCTGACCAGCCCTGTGTGAACCCGCCAGCTGGACAGGCGGGACAGCCTGAAACTGCACACAGGGGCCATGCTGAGCCGGGGAAGGAAGGGGCAGAAGAGATCAACACAAGAGAAGGGGTGGTTGGAGGAAGCTGGCCAGAGAGGCCACTAGCGGGTGCCCCATCGCCAGGCTGCAAGCTCCCAGGACCCAAGGATCACGCCTTAGTATCACACCAGCAGCTGGCAATACATTGGGTATGCAGTAGATGCTTAATAAATGCTCAGGGACTGATGGATAGAGAAGTGAGATGCTATGGGTCATCTACAACCACCTCTCCCTCCCTCCTGCATAACTCCACCACATTTTACAACAAACATAGAGGGGCCTTGTGTCAGGAAAACCCCCTCAGCCCTGTCTCTGCATTTACTATGTGTGATCCGAGGAAGAACTTCCCCTCCCACCCTTGGTCTCCTCATTGCAAAATGGGGCTTGCACTCTCTGCCCTGCCTGCCACCAAAAGAAGAGGCTCAAGGAGCTCATTCACTCATCATTCATTCATTCATTCCTCTGACTAACATTTATTAAGCACCTACTATATGGCAGGGACTGTTCTAGGCCCTGGGGACACAGCAATGGAGAAATCTACAAAAAGATTCAGTGGTAACAAAACTGAGAGGCCTTGCTCCATGGAGCTTCCAGTCCAAAGGGAAAGAAAGACAATAAACAAATAATTACATGGAAAGTGATTTAATTACAGTGGCGACGAACATGAAGAAGCACAAGGCGCTGTGAATGTGAAAGTATTTAAAACCTGAAAAGCTGACGAATATAAAGAACAACTGTATTATTACTGCTATTTGTGCAGATCTGCTCTTGACACCGAATGGGGCGAACTCCACAAACACCAGCCTCGCCGACTGCAAGCAGACACCTGAAGCAGACAGCGGGACATGGACATTTTATACAGGACATACCAAGAAAAGGCCTGAACAGAAAAGGCCGCTGAGGCCCCCTCCTCCCTGGCAGCCCGAGAGACTTGCCTGTACATGCAGTGCGCGGCAGTCACCACCCAGTGTGGCGCCAACACAGAGCCCCCGCACGTGTGCCGGGAGCCCAGGGTCACGCTGGCATGCCATGGCCAGCGCCCGGGAGCCGCGGCCTGCCCACCGACTATCCGGGAAGCCAGGGGCCTTGCTCCACACTCTGCCAACAGAGAAGGGTGAGACAGAAAGAGAGTGGGTGTGAGGAGGGTCCTAGCTCCCAGGGAGTGTGGCCCAGTGCCAGGCCCCAGAGAGCCAGTGTGGACAGCTCTCGTTTCTTATTCCTGGTCCTAAGTATGGGGGACAGGAATCACGAGTGGTGATTCCACACCTGCCTGCCCCATCGGGCTGTGGGTCAGCTGAGAGCAAGGACTATGTCTGCGTTGTCTGTGGGGCCCCAGTGCCTGACTGAAGGCCCGTCCCACTGGGGGCCAAAGCGTTGGTATGTGGGTGATGTGTGGAAGGGCGGACGAAGAGATGGATAGATAGATGAATGGGGAGACAAATGGAAGGAGCTCCACAGATGGTTTCCCATTTGGCTCCCAATTCACCACCTGCCCTGAGTCTCCTGAAGCAGGTTACTCCATAGCCAATAACAATACCACCTTTGCTGCTCTCCAGAAGAAAGGGGGAGTGACGTCAGAGGCCAGGGGAGAGAGCGGCAGGCAGTGAGGTCAGGCTTAGAAAGGGCATCTGCAAGAAGGGGCCCGGCAGACAGAGAGCAGGTGGACAAGGACTCCCCCAGACCCAGCTGAGCCTCTCCACGGGGCTCTTCCACACTCAGGGCAGGGGGAAACTCCTTCCCCGCACCGCCACCGTCCTGGATCTAAGACATAACTCACCAGAGCATTTGAGGGAAACAACTCGGCCGGAAGTGCAGTTGTTCCTGCAAAACAGAGGCACCAGCCAGAAGCTGGGCAGGGGCCCAGCCTGTGGCCACACACACCCAAGGGTGTGGGGGAGGGGGTGGTTGGTGGACAGTTCTTGAGGCTGCCGTGTAGGCACAGCTTTAAGAATACCCCCGTTTCCTTCCTGCCCCCGGCAGATGCCTAGGCTCCTGGCCACACCAGTCCCCGGGACAGCAGCAGCATTCTGCCCAGTCTCCCACAGGGCAACAGAAGGACTTCATGGTCCTCAAGGGGCCATGTGAGTAGAGCCCAAACATACAGAGTAGTTACAGATGAGAAAGACCAGCTGTTCCCACTGAGTGGCCCTGAATAAATACGTGCTCAGTGGGTGAATGCATGGGCAAGTGAGTGAATGCGCGACTGGAGCTCTTCACCCCGTGGGCCCTCCTCTGCTTACCGTCTTCTCTGTCCCCAGCCCTTGTCGGGGCCCTGCATATTCCTGTTCTTGCTGTCCTCTCTCCCCTCCTCTCTGTTAGCACAAGCCTCAATTCCTTTTTGACCAAAACCCTCCTCTTTCTTTACTCATCTCTTGCCCCCAGCAGCCCGGTGCCTGCATCCTCTTAGTTTCTTCCAGTTTTCTGAGTTTTCTCCCAGCTCTCCTGGAGGAGTCAGTCCCACCCCTACTTCCACTTGTCCATTCAGTCTCTAAGGCAGGAGCCCAGCCAGAACCACACCCCCCATCACCAGCCGCATTCCTGAGAATAGACCCTGAGGACAGGCGCTGGACGGGGGTGGGGTGGCCTGAGGGAAGAGTTCAAACTGGAAATGTGGTAAAGGGGATGCCCACCCGTCTAACCCAGGAGGCTGCTGGGCAGCCTAAGGAAGCCCAGGAAGGGGCAAAGACCCTCCCCCAGGGTTTGGGCCATAAGCAGCTCTTAGCCAGGACAACTCAACCATCTCTCTCTTGAAATATCAGGATGATCCAAACAAAGTGTGGCAGGGTTAAGAGAGCACCTAGTTTGGAAGCAGGAGCCTGGTTTCAAGGCTTGGCTTGATTGCTTATTAGTTATGTGACCTGGGACAAGACCCTTTAACCTCATTAAGCCTCAGTGTCCTGACCAATAAAATGGGGATAAGAGTACTATTTCAAATCCTGTGACGATAACAACCAACACTGCATTTCTTGCAAAGGGCAAATAGTGTATGTGAAGCCGGGACAGACAGGGCTCATGGGAACCACGTCTGCAATTGCTAATCAGGAAATGTTCCTCTTCGTCCTCCTATCTTAGACTGCCAGTGTTCCCACCACCAAGCTCCCATGAAAAGAAGATTTTTGCCGGACTGGCCACCAGGAAGTAAGAGACCCCACTCGCCTAACCTGGGGTCCTACCTGGGCTGCCACACATCCTCCAGGAAGCCTCCCAGTCTAGGAGAAAGCTGAGCAAACTCCTGGGAGCTGTTGAGCTTGATGTCAGTCAGGTTTACTCCCTTGTAGTAAGTGAGTCTTGGCAGAAGGGAATAGAACAGCAGGACATCATGACTGGAATGTACACGAGATGTTATACCAGCACAGTGACTGAGCAAGTCTGTGGCAATCACTTCTTGTGGGATTTCTGTTTGTCACAAACCAGCGATGCCCAAAAGAGAGAAACTGGCTGGGGCACCATCATGCCCAGAGGCCAGAAGATGGCCAAAATGACCTGTCGCCATTTCCTGAGCACACTGACGGTGATGAGCAGACAGAGGTCCCCAACTCCCCTTCCCCTGCCCACCAGCCCCCGACCCTCCCCGACCCTGGGTCTGCCTCCTGTTACCTGAGGTGCCCCAGGCTCCGGCAGATCCGCACCCCCAGGGCAGGGCTCCAGCCCTCATGGCAGACCAGGAGCCAGTCTGACCGGGCCCCCACTCGCACTTCCAGCAAGAAGTCCTCTCGGTCTGTTCTGAAAGATACTGAAATCACAGCGTGAAAACCGCCTCCCACCTGCTGTGGGGGTCAAGAGAGGATGGTGACAGGGTAGGACAGGAAGAGCTGAACTTGGAACTCTGTGGGACCTGAAGAGGCCTTAATGACAGCATCTGGGTCACCCAATGTCAAGCTCCCTGCCCCCCAGGGTGTTAGGCCGGTCCTAAGAACAATATAACCCCTACTGTGGAGCATTTCATTTTTGTATTTTAACCAAGTGCTTTTAAACATGCTCCATCACTCGTTGTCACAGCAGCCCTGTGAAATGAATGCTACCACCCTCTCCGTTCTGCAAAGGGAAAACTAAGGCACGGAGGTTAAGCAGCTTGCCCAAGATCACAGAATCAGCAAGGGATGGATCCAGAACTTAAGTTCAAGTCTTCTGATTTCAAATCTTGTGACAATAGTAGTTACCATTTATTGAGTATCTGCTTTTTCCGGGCTGTTATGGAGTGCATTGTGTCCCCCAAATTCACATGTTGAAGCCCCGACCCCCTGTGACTGTATTTGCAAATAGGGCTACTTTAAGAGGTTCCATGAGGTCATAAGGCTGGGGCCCAGATTCGATAGGGCTGATATCCTTGTAAGAAGAGAGAGACACACCAGAGATCTCTGTCTCTCCCCCAGAACAGAGGAGAGGCCCTGGGAGGACACAGCAAGAAGGCAACCATCTGTGATTCAGGAAGAGAGCCCTCTATAGAGATGGAATTTGCCAGCACCTTGTTCTTGGACTTCTAGTCTCCAGAACTGTGAGAAAATAAATGTCTGTGGTTTAAGCCACACGGTCTGTGGTATTTTTGTTATGGCAGCCTGAACAGACTAACACACTGGCTCTGTGCTAAGCTCTTTTTATATATTTGTTTTATCCTCACAACTTTATGCCGTAGTTTTATTTCCATTTTATACAAAAGGAAATGGAAGCTCAAAAAACTAAATGTGCCCAAGGTCACATAGCTAGCAAAAGACAGACTCCAGCCTTATGCTAACAAACTGCTGTAACTGATGCTCACCCCCAGCCTCTGTACTCCTGACCCCAGCTCTCACCTGGAGGGGAGGGGACTATGGGGGGATGTTCCCAGCCCCCTGGCTTGCCCAGCTGGTCACACACTGGCTCCCACACACACCTGGCACCTCTTCCCCCACATTGCCAGCCCACTCGGCCCCACATGGCAAGCTTCTATCCCTCCCGCCAGCCTGGGGTCCTGGCCACACCCCAGCTGGAGATCAGGACACTTCCTAGGGAATGCTGAAAGCCCCAAATCAGAGATCAACTCTGCAAGGCTAGACCTGGTCCCCATTCTCACACAGATGACAGATGGTTGGCAGTGAACTGATGGGGCTCCATGTTGGCCCTCTTGCCCCCATTGGTGAAGGGGCCCTGGGCGGGGAAGGGTGTCCCACAGCCTTGGGAGTGTGGCCCACCTGGTCTGGGAAGCGCAGGGAGTGGCGCTTCCTCATTGCTGGCCTCCGAGCAGCCCAAAGGCATCTCCTTGTCCTGCAAGGTCCCGGAAATGGGCTGAGAGGCAGCTGGCCATAGATACAGCACTTCAGAGAAGGACAAAGAGAGGGTCACAGAGAAGAGGCTGGGAGAAAGGGAGAGATTCCCAAAGAAGGTGGTCAAGGCGCAGAACAAAACACTCCTGGGCCAGAGGCAAGAGCAGCCACCTGGGGATGACTCCACCACCCTGCCTTTGGGCAGGTCTCCAACCAACCCGCTGGGGACAGGCGTAGCACTCTGTCTCTTCTGTCTGTCTCCCTTCCTCTTCTCCTCTTGACTCTCTCTTCTCTTTCTCTGTCTCTGTCATTCTCTCTGTCTCTCTCTGTGTCTGTCTTTTTCTGTCTCTCTGTGCATGTGTGTGTGTCTTCTCTGTCTTTCTCTCTGTGTCTCTCTCTCTCTCTCTCTCATTGGGAAAGATTTGTAGAAAAAAATCTGACCAGGGCCTCCCTGAGGGACTAATACTTTTCCCTGGGGGACTAAAACGTTCTTCTTTATGCAGAGCCTAAATCCCTCCTGCTGAGATTTTACACCTTTTCCCTTTGTTGTCTACACAACTTAAGTGAGGAAGGCACTCATCCCATTTACCTTTAACATCTGCTCAGCACCTGACTCTCTTCCAGCTTCCCCCAGGTCCTGTTTCTAGTCCCTCCCCAGACCGCGGAAGGGCCCCCAGCACTGACCTATGAGCCACGAGCCGACACCCACACCAGCCAGCAGCCCCAGGGCTCCCAGCACTGCACAGCCACGCCGCGCGGAGCACCAGCGCCCTGCCTGAGACACTGGGGAAAGGCAGAGGGGCGTCTGGGTCCCTGCTCCTGCCAGCCATACTGTAACCCGAGGCCCCACCACAGGGCTAGGCACCCATGGAGCTCCGTGTTCCTTCAGTGTGGAATGGGTGGGGGCCAGGTCCTGATCCCAGAAGCCCACAGAGCCCCATCAATCCCCAAAGTGGGAAACAGGGAGCAAAAGCAGGTCTGGGAACAGAAAGTGAGACAGCCCCTCACCATCGATCATGTGGGGCCAGCCCAAGGGGGATCCAGGGGACATAGGAAGATTACCCTCCACTGCCCCCACCCTGTCTTTCCCCTCCAGCCCGGTCTGCCTACCGGGTTGCTGCTGGTCTCCCGGCTCTGCTGTGAAGATCCCGGGTCCTGGACCCTCCTCTGCGTACTGAGCCTCCACAAGGCCATGGTCGCCCAGCATGAGGCTCTGGGGAAATAGCTATCAGACACCCCAGATCCCCACGTCAAGGACTGAGAGAAGACCCAGCCCACACCAGGTCCCCGTTCTCTAACTTCGACCACGCCCTCGCTGCCACTTGCAAGCCTTCATTCATCTTTGGAGACTCCCTGTGTGTTCCAACAAATGCCCCTCCTGGCCCTCTCTGCTCCCCTGGACCCCCTAACCTCACCCACCTTACTCTCACATGGTCAGTAAGTGTCAGAGCAAAGACTTGAATCCAGATTTGGCCACACTCTTAACCACTCCCTCATCTTGCCTCCCACGAGCATCAAGGCACCTGCTGAAGTCCCTCGACGTCCTGCTCAGACTTCAGATCCCACCCTCTGCATTCCCTCCTATCTCAGAGGAAAAAGTGCCCCTCCTCCATGCACCCACCCACACCCCCATTCATTGGGTAGATTATTTAGCCCAAGTGCACAGGTCACTGTGGGGGACTACTACAGCATCCAGAATAAATCAGCATGGACCACCCCTCCCCAACTGCCTCAAAGAATCTGCAGTCTAGTCCTGAAGGGCAGTCATGTAAACAAAGCAGAATACATTAAGTGACAGAAGAAAAGTTCAGCGACACCATCATTCAAAAGAATAAGAGCTTACCTCTCACTGAGGAAGGAAGGCTTCCTAGAAGAGGCAGCCTGAGACAGGCCTTCGTGGATGAGGAGGGTTTGAACTATTAATAACATATATGGGCACTGGGTAGTCCAGGCAAGGAGGAGACAGGCAAAGGCATGGAGGGGAGAAGTACAGAGCAGAGGGAGTCACGTCTATGCCTGAAGCTCTGAGCCCTGAGGAGCAATGAAAATAACACTGGACGGTTCCAAGCTACGTCTGCTACCTACTATGTGAACTTCCACAACTCAGGCCGCCTCCAAACTTCAATATTCTCATTTATAAAATAAGAGTGATAACTCCTATTTCTTGATGAAGAATCTCCCTCCTCTAGTGTCTTGTCTCCCTCTATTATTCTCCATGCTATAAAGCCAGAGTAATCTTTCTGAAATGCAAATATGACCACATGCACCCCATCTGTAAAGTATCCAGTGAATATTTGTAGCCTTCAGAATGAATCCAAAGCTCCAAGGCATGGCTCACAGGGTGCTCCGTGATCTCTCCCTCCCTCGCCTCTCCATCCTCACAGCCAGCACTAACTCCCTCCAGAGCAGAACCTGGGGTCACACTGACATGCAAGCCATTCCTCGGCACCTTTAGGCACTCTCACCCCACGGGGACCTTGCACCTGCTGTCCCCTGCCCCACGTGGCTGACCCCTACTGACTCTTCAAGACTCAGCACAGACGTCACTTCTCCAGGGAGCTTCCTTCGATGCATACAGCACCTGCTGTGGCCCTATACTGTGCTCATTCACTTCTCTCTCTCTCCTTCCTTACTGGTCTATGCATCTCAGGGCCAAGCTCAGGCCCTGGCACATGGTTGTTCAGTCAAAGTGCATTGAAGAAGGGAAGACAGGCAAGCAGGCTAAACAAGGTAATGTGATTATAACACACAATGCAAATCATAAGTATAATAATATTAATAAAAAATACATATAAGCTGTGGATCCTTCCCCAAGAAATTTATAATCCAGTGGAGTAGATAAGACCCCTTAAAACTGAAGTTGACTCCCATCTCTCCTGAAGACCACCTTTCCCTGTCAACCCATAATGCTGTACCCAATGATCACAAAAGCCTGAAACACTGGCTCCAAAACAACGTTAGCTTAGATGTGATTTCCATATGTTATGTGGAATGTTCTTTTCACACAAGAACCCTCCCAGTCCTGCCTTTGTGCTCCACTGAACTGGCCTTCCTGACCCTCTGGCTAGGGGAGGAAAGCGTTTGTCACACTCACTCAGGTCAGTCACCTGCAAATCGCCCTGAAAATCATTCCACTGGACCCATGAGCATCCATGCCAGTTCAGTCACAGACAGGACAGCAGCCCGTTGAGTCACAAACTCACAAATGGGACAGTGGCCCAACACCTTCCCTACGGAGTGGGGCAGCAGCCCCACCTCCCCGTCCCCTACACCAATCACAGCCCAGGACCTGGAGGAGTGGCCCTCCCAGCAGCCGCAGACCTTGCTTCCCCAGGGGAAACACAGTCATGGCTTGCATCCTAGCACACATGCTATTTCTTGTGCCTGGAGATGAGCCTCCTAGGGCACGGGTAACGAGGCTGGAGGACGGCAGGCTTGGGAAAGCCAATCAAGCACCCGTAAGAAAGTAGAGAAGTGGCAACAGAGTGTGAGGTTGGGTTTCTTCTCTGGGGAAGCGGTTTCTCTTAAGCTGATGTCCCTGTGAGCAGAGAGGCAGGCTGGTCCAGAGAGAATTTCAGGCCACACCCAGCCTTTCGTCCTGTCTCAGTATCAAGGGAGCTTGACTTTAAACTCAGCCTCTGAACCAAATGGCCTCACTTCAGATGCTGCCCTACCTCAAAACCCAACCTGGGGAAAATGGCCTTTAATGGTACAGGATTCCTTGGTCCTCTTTTTGAGTGGACGTTCAATGTAATCATGACACTGCCTACATGCCAAGCACTTGATAGTTCTATGGGGACAAGAGAGAATAAAAGGCAACCCCTGGGGAGAAAACAGGGGTTTGGCCACACGAGGCCCCTGCTAGGATCTAGCACTTGTACTAGAGCTGTCCCAGGGGTTCTTTCCACCAGCCTAGAATCAGAAGGGCAGGGGGAAGAGAGAGAGAGAGAGAGAGAGAGGCCCTAGCAGGGACGGCACAGGCCTTACCGTAGCGGTCAGTGGCACTGTTGTAAAGTTTCAGGGTCTGCTAGTCAGCGTCTTGCTCCTGTTTTCAGGGCCAGCATTGATTAAATAGCCCAGCTAGCTTGATGATGAGGTCTTCCTGGTCCACACACGGCCCCTCCCTGTCTCCCCTCTCCACACACTCACACAGACACGCGCCAGAGAGACAATGAACTCTGCTCAGGTCCCATGAATAGGCCCCTTGTTGCAGGAAAGGGGGCCAAGGGTTAGGCTGGGTTGGGCAACCCCAGCCCCTCCCGTCTGTTAACTGGAAGCTCAGAAACAGAAAAAGGTTACAGGGAGGAGGGGAGGCCAGCTACTATTGCCTAGCAACCAGGTCCCTTGTGCCAAAAAGTATGCCCCATGCAATTCTCCCTTCTTGCCGACAGGACTGCATTACAGACACTGATATTAGCACTTTGTTTCTAAGCCCTCTGTGGGTTGGCTTTCCTAGCAGTCTGGGGCTGTTACCATGTTGGAGCTTTTGGGGTGATGATGAGGAATGTTTGTCACCTCTCTCCCCAGGGCTGCAGCTGTCACCCCCAATACCAGGGAAGTGGGGCCTGTCCACCCTGTCTGCCTTGGGAGCCAGTTGCCACAGGAACCTTCAGTGCTGTCTTGTTTCAGAGCACAGGGTGACCCAGCCAGGCCCAGGTTGTACTGAACATGTCTGGGACCCACACATGTCTCTTTAGACAAGGAGGCAGAACAGCTCCCAGGGAAGGGAGTGGCTAGTGGAGCTTCCCCTCCTCCAATCAGCCTCTTATAGATCCCTCGGGGATGGGACAGCTAAGAACACGGGCTTTAGAGTCAGGCCTTCATCCAGCCCCAGTTCTCCTACTTCCCTTACTCAGCCTCGCCTGTAAAAGGAGGATAATAGTACCTACCTCAGAGGGTTGATGTTAGAATTAAACTTTTTCTTTTTTTATTTTAACCTGCTCCCCAGGAAAGTAGATGTTAGAATTAAATGAGATATTGAAATAAAGCTCTTCGCCTGGGGCCTAGCACAGACTGTATTCGGTAAGCAGGAGCTGCTGAACCTCACCCACCTAAGCTTTATTTTAACTTTTCTCCCTTTTTTCCTCATACGCTCGTGTGCCGACTCTCAGCTTATGGTCATCACAGAGCTCTCCACACACAAAACAATGAAGAGACAGAAGTCAGCCATGAATTATAGAAGGAGGAGGAGAGAAAGGCTGGCTGGAGCTGAGAATCTCCTGGCTAGACTCCTGGGACAATACTCCTCAGATTACAAACCTGAATATCTCTGTGGGTCAGGAACTGGCCTGGGCATAGGGGATGAACAAGCCATAGACTGGGCACCTGCAGGCTGAAAAAGAGACAGAAACAGACATAAATAATTGTTATTTGTAGAAAGTGAAATAAAGAAGGCATGATGGTTTAGGAGAATAGCTGACTCCTTTGCCCAGAGGACACAGAGAGGGCTTCGCAATGGAGAAGATATTTGAGCTGAGTTTTGAGAAGTGAGAACACAATCACAGAGAAGGGCATTTAAAATATATTTTAGGTGATGTCAATGAAAATGACAAAGACCTCTGAAAATTCCCTTCTCTGTGAAAATAATGAGGAAACTGGCAAAAAATGGTCAGAATCAACTTTTTCAGAACTCTGGAAATTTGCCTAAAGGCTTGCAGCAACCCGAGGAGCATTTATTCAGGAAAAATGGCTGACTTTCTGTAAGAACAGTGAGCTTTGTGGCATTTTAACTTGCTCGAATTCTATCCCCCTCACTCCAACTCTGCAGTAGCCTTGAAAACCAGCATCCCACGATCACAACGGAAACCAGCAGCCTGGCAGCTACAATAAGGGGTAGAACAGGCTTGGAGCTCCTTCAAAGCCTCCTTCCCAGAGAGTTGTCATTATTTTACCTGTCTGGTGGGCCTCTGGAAGTCCCCATTTGCAAGGCTGTCTTTATTTGACCTGACTTGGAGCTTGCCCAGGGTAAACAGCTTTTTCCCTAAAGGCATTTGTTAAAAACAATTGTAGGCAATTGTTGGATTTTGTGACAACCTGAGATAGTAGATAATAGTTGGGGGGAATAATAAGCTAACCAAAAAACCTTACAAGGAAAATCTGGGGAATGAAATGTCTCTGAGGAGCTTTGAAAGGCTCCAAAATATACCTGGGAATCTAGAAAGCCACAAACGTGCATAGGACTGTGCATATGCCCAGGGCTGTGCACATGTGCAGGAGAGGCCTAAGAAAGGACTTAAGCGCTCACCCTGGCCAATCTTGAGGCTCTGTACAAGCAGGAGGGCTAAGGCAGAGTTGTAAACTTCCTGTCTGAGTGTTGAAGGCATGCCCCAACATACACACGGAGCCTCTCTGCAACAACTGGTCAACTTATTGGTTCCAAGCATCAAGGCAATCTCTGTCCATTCACAAGCTGACCACTAAGCAATGGTCAAATATGACAGAATACAGACTTTACAGAATTAATTGAGATAAGTCACTAAACAAACAAGAAACAGCAACAACAACAAACCCTGGGGAGGGGGGAGAATCTTTTTCCCAGAGTTGCCATATTGTATTATATTTTTAAAAATATAGTTTTCAAAAGTAATTATGAGACACACAAAGAAACAAGAAAGTAAGGACCATACGCAGGGCAAAAAAAGCAATCAATAAAAACTGTCTGCAGGCTGGGTGTGGTGGCTCATGCTTATAATCCCAGCACTTTAGGAGGCCAAGGCAGGAGGCCAGGAGTTCAAGACCAACCTGGGCAACATAACAATATAGCAAGACCCTGTCTCCACAAAAAAACAAACAAAAAACCTGAAAAAACTGTCCCTGAGGAAGCCAAGACATTGGACCTACAAGATGAAGACTTCAAATCAGCATTCTGTATATGTTCAAAGAACTAAAGGAAATTATGTCTAAAGAAATGGAGAAAATTATGAGAACAATGTCTTATCAAGAAGACAATATCAATAAGAAACTAGAAGTTGTATTTTTTAAAAATGAACCAAATAGAAATTCTAGAATTGAATAGTACAATAACTGAAATGAAAAATTCATCAGAGAGGCTGAATAGCAGGTATATGCAAGCAGAAGAATCTGTGAAGTTTAATATAGGTTTATTGAGATTATCCAATCTGAGGGACAGAAAGGGGAGGGGGCTAAAGAATGGAGAAAAATAAACAGAGGTTCAGAGACCTTTGAGACATCATCAAACATACCAGCATATGCACAATGGGCATCCAAGAAAAAAAGGAGTGACAGAAAGGGGCAGAAAGAATATTGGAAAAAATAATGACCAAAAATTTCCCAAATTTGATGAAAAATATTAATCTACATATGAAAGAAACTCAATGAACTCAAAGTAGGATAAATCAAAGAGATCCACACCTAGACACATCATAATTAAACTGCTTAAATCTAAAGACAAGGAGAGATTCTTGAAAGCAGCATGAGAAAAGCAACACATCACATACAAGAGATCCTCAATCAATAGTTTAACAGTTAACGCTTGACTTCTCATCAGAAACCGTGCAAGCCAGAACGTCCTTAAAGAAAAAGGCTGTCAACCAAAAATTCTATACCCAGCAAAACTATACTTCGAAAATGAAAAAGAAATTAAAATAATCTCAGATAGACAAAAACTGAGAGAATTCATCAATAGCAAATCTGTCCTATAAGAAACACAGTCATGTACCTTATAATGACATTTCAGTCAACAGTGAACCACATATATAGGCAGTGGTCTCATTAGATTATAAAGGAGCTTTTATGTTGTATTTTTACTGTACTTTTTCTGTGTTTAGATATCTTTAGA